CGCGTCCTGTCGACGGGAGTTCGTTTACAGGCTGGCCGACGGCGATCGATCGATCGATTTCGCGGACACCGCGCTGGATTCGCGCTGACTGCGCCGCAGTCTCCGGCTTTATTTCGGTCGCACGTGTGTGTGAGACGAGCCGCGATAGCGATTTATTGTCTAAGCAGAATGGCGTTACACGCCGGGCGTTTTTGCGCCGCCGCTCGTTCGGTAGTTCGCTCCAATTATCCTTTTCCGAGATCGTGTCGCTTCTGTCACAGGAATGATATCTCGCGGGGACGTGGAGAACGCCGCGTTAATTATTTCCGATATTCTGCACAATACTGCTGCAAGCGTGTAGTAACTATCAAAGTTGGCATTATTTTTATACACCGATCATAGATATTTGCTTATTTCTTTACTTCGGATATACATATTCCGTGCTGGACGAAAGTAATAAAAATAACGTTTCGACATATTCAAAGAAATACGAAATAGTTATTTAACAGCGAGAAATAAAATAAACTTTTCACGTTCAATCTCGGCAGAGAATATAAACAGATAACAAAATATTTTTATTTCAAATTGGCTATATTGTAGAATCTACGATTAAAAAGAATATTAAACAGTTCTGGAAAATCCTGATAAGACTCGCAATATAAAAGATGCATAATTTTCGTTGCATCAATATTGTTTTGATTTTATTTTGATTTTATTGAACGACATGCAGATAATTGTGCGATAAGGGAACGTACGATTTTATCGCGATATTTTTTACGATATATTTATGATTTTTCGTATATGAAAAGTGCATAAACTCGAACGGACGTTTCGCGAAAGAGCTCTCGTTATACATGTATATAAATATATATAAACGAGATATATATACGTGCAGAATGTTTGTCGACCTTTAACTGATCAGTATCGCTGTATCATCATCCGATATGTATAGATGTTGCCCGAAAAAAAGCGGCTGTCAGTGCCGATCGCGCGTTTTTAAATTGACCTTCGGCCGCGATCCCGTGATTCTTTTTATGCCGATGGAGAACCCAGGGGATCGTCTCGCGTGTTCGATGTCGGCCCGGAGGGGTTTCTGCGCTCTTTTCCGCCCTCGTGCAGTGTTCTGGCATTCTGGATACGAGCTACGGTATACTGTACCCGCGGGAGGTATATCTGCTCCAAATGTTCCACTCGTTCCACTATATTGATTTAAATTATTAATTGTGAATTTATTTCTGATCAGCGCAGAGATACGTTTAATAGAGACAAGCGCGACAACGACGTATATTTATATTTGGGACAGCTTCTTTATTCATATTCGTGTCAATTTTAATGTCGTTGACTTCTTAATGTGATTCGTAATTACAATTTTGGTCTTTCGTGCGATATCTTTGATTGCATATATCAATAATAATTAAAAATATTTTTTCTATTTCTATTTTATCGAATAACAACATAAAATATACATAAATGCTAGAAATCGCATTGATATGAATTTTAGAGATATTTTGATTTTTCATCACATAGTTTGAAATTAAAAATAAATAATCTGGTTTATCTCTTAAAATAGATATATATATATCTATATATTTAAAATCGAGATTTATAAGAGAGGAGAATGCATTTCAACTTCTAATTTATTTATTATATTAAAATTTTGTTTTTATTTTATTCCGATACTTTTTCCATTATTAGCTTTCGACAATCTCACGATATTGATTTTATTAAGGTAAAGGATTCTATCTCGTAAAACTTTATACATAACGTTTTTATTTGTATCTAACTTAAGTTCGCAAATTATGCGTGTAAGTTCGCATTAAAGCACAAAGACCAATCAATACGGAATAAACTTGTAAAGGGGTAAGAAAGGGAGTGAGAGTGTCTCACCTTCTTGTCCTCGGTCTTCGTGGTCCGCGAACTCTTGGAGAAGAGGCTGTCCTGGTCGCCAGCGGCGCTGGAGACGGTCGCCCCGCGGCCGGCGCCGGCGTCCTGATTGAGCAGAGGCACCGTGCCGAGTTCCGGTACCGCATAATCGTACGACGTGTCAACTGCACCGTTCGCGTACACCGCTGCGGATGATATAGCAAAGGAGGAGCGAGCGCAGAAGGGGATGGTGTATTGATTGCGGTCAGGGCGAATGCTTTGTTGCCGGGACGTATGTGGGTGCACCATCGTTGGCACAGGAGCCGCGACCGTTGAATGTATGTGTTCACGGATGCATGAGTGTGCGTGTATGGGTGTGTACGTGTGCGTGAGTGCGTAATCGCGAGCACGCGCCGTATAACATGTGTAGGTGTAGGTGCGTTCGAGCGCCGCATACCTGAGTGATTGATGTTGGTGCCCTTGTTGTTCAGCATCATGTCTTTCATCTCCATAACGACGGTGCTGTAGCTGTAGTACGGCGCGTACTTTAGCGCCTGGTAGGGCTCTTGGTAGTCGTCCAGCTTTACGATGTCCAGGAGACGATTTCCGAGGTCGCGCGGCAAAGTCGGCAGAGAACCGCCTGCGTATCTGAAAGAGGAAGGAATCGATTCATCGATGAGATGTCATTCCGTTTACCCAAAGTGATCAGTAGTATAGTTTCTTCCAATCGCATCATTCGCATTCCTCGATAATTTTACTGAAATAAGTTCAGTAAATAAGCTGTGTATATTCTATCTTTCTTCAAGGATCGTTTGGCTACATTTACCCTACTTAATATTTACTCATTTATTCAAATTATTCGAGTCATATATGACGTAAATTTGCTTTACTTTGTAGCAATGCGGCCTAATGCTACCCAAATATGATTCGCATCGCGCTCGAAGAGAGTTATAAAATGTATCGGTACAACTTCGACTTTGTTAGATCCCGATTTTTGAGAGCAGTATATTTTTCGTTCGCGAATTTTAGTGCTGCGGAACATGCGGTCCGTCCAAGGCAACATCCGTGCGCCTACTTGAAGTTGCACGTTACACGTTCTCTTTTGGTACGAAGCTCGCAGCTGCAATATCGGATTGCACAAAGCGGGCAGGGAGCTCGGGGGGGATCGATGCCGAAGCTCGTGCGGGATGCTTCGAAGTTACGAGGCGGCCGTAGGATCTCCTCTGGAGACATTCGTGCCGCACAAACTCGATATATTGCCCGAGGATGTCCGTTATTGGACGTTATTGGACATTCGCTAACGAGCACGGTGGATGGAAAGTTTATTGGAAGGCCCGTCATCGTGCCGAGCGTGTCGTGAACGGAGACAAACTTGGAAGAAATGAGGAATACGGCCTCATATCGCAATCGTGTATTATCGTTAAGCATGCTCCGCGCGATGCAAAAGCGAGTGTTCGACAGTTTCTTTCGTATGATCCTGCAATCGTGCGGTCTAGACGATCCTCGTCGCGTAATAAGAGAGAAAAAATGTAGCAAATATCACCCAAAGTAGCCCAATTTTGCGATACTTTATAAATTGAATTATTGCAAAATTATTCAATGTCTCTCATTTAATATTTGAAGTAAAAAATGAGGGCTCGACATTGTGCGAGAATAATTAAAAAATTATTCAATTTTTAAAAATATATTTTAACAATTCATATTTTAATTAAACATAAAAAATTATACTAAAATACATAAAAGAGAGCGGGAAGAAAATTGTACTTCCAGCTTTTATTAGAATGTCAAAGGTCGCATCATCTTTGATGAGTTTATTCCCTCTTTCTCGTTTATTTTCTCATTAATTATCAAATGAGTAATCCCTTACCTTTCGTCGTCCTCTAAAGTATACGCCATCAAAGCCGCGCCTTTCTCGACGGTGGCGCAGGTGGATCCTAAATGAGAAGGGGCTTTGCCGGTCATCGGGCTGGCGAAACACTTGCGCTGCCTGTGTCGTGAGACAATCAAAAATATCGCTACAGCGAGTGAAAGTATCACGGCGGTCAGCACGCCGATCACGACCGCCATGTACGTCGGGTCGTCGTGTTTCGCCGTCGAAACCGGAAGCTCGCCCTCGGCGGCGCCGTTCTTCTCGACAAAGACGTCGCTCTGGATCGGTGATTCGGTTGTCGGTGCTTCCTCGGGCGTGAAGTTGCCGTGCGCTATATCTATACACACACACACACATACAAAAAAAAATGTTTATCTTTCGCTTGCCTTTTAGTTTTAAAATTTCATTATTTCAGCAAATTTGCGAGTCGAGTATATTTATACGTTAATTTTTTAACGCATTAATAATTTTGTGAATATAATGGACAGTGCAAATGCAATGTCTAGTGCAATTTACATGTGAAATTGGATGCACTGTAACATTTCATAGTGCCCGCAATTATTGTCGTACTATGGTTACAATTATTAATTGTCATGATTATTATATTCCTCTGCTATTATCTCTGTTATTATCTCTGTTAATATCGCTACGTGTATTATATTAGCTAATTATGATCCAACTTTCTGTGTATCTCGAAGTCTCTTCGAGAGATACCTATTTTTATAACTGTTATTAGAAAAGTTTGTTCTTTTGCTGTTCAGCTTGCGCGGACAGGTATTGTTTATGCAAACGCGAGCGTCGCGTACGTCGCATGACATTGATTAAGGAGTAAAGCTTTTCTCACAGAAGGATGCATCTAGTACGCGTCGAGATTAAGCTAATCGTGCATAAGATACGCGCGCGAAGATCTGCCTTTGAGGACTAAGGATTACAAAACACGTTCGCGCGAGATAGACGCATGAGAGCATATGTGGAGCGTGTAATTAACCTATATGCGCTTTGACGTACGACTTCACTAAGGATGCTGCAGGATATACGAAGTTCGTTACGGAGAGGGGTCGTCTAGTTCACTTCTCTCGTAAATGCGAGAGATAACGTTCCCCATTTATTATCATCGCGATATCGTATGAAAGAGACCCGGTGGAGCTTTCATCGTGTAAACATATTATATTACGCTTTTGTCGATGGGCTGTTTTGTGAACAAAAATTGTGTAATTAGACTGCCGTTGTTTGTTCTTTCGAAGCGTAATTATACGCGTCATTCTCATGGTGTTTAATAATGCGCTTTAACGGAAAACGATATGATATGCTTTTCCGCTCTCTCTATTTTGTGCGTTGCAGTATCAAGAGGATTACGTTTCATTTTGCTACAAATAATTACAGTAGAAAGGGTGGGGTGGGGAGGGGAAGGATACATTACCAGTAAGGATAATTTTGCAAAGAGTACATTGATGAGATACGCGTACATTACATGTGGTTTTTAAAATGTTCTCCGTTCTGTCTGCGTCGATTTTTAATTTTACTAATTTAACGTCTTACAACGCGAATATAATCTTCTTTTGTTGCTATCCAAATTTCGAATTATTATTTTTTGACACGCAAACGATTTTTAAATTCCATTTTCGTCACGTTTGACGTGTTGCTATTTCAAGGAATACGGTGTCACACATTTCTGTCGTTGCACTTTACCGCCCGGTCCCGACAGAACAAGAAATAACATATATGAAGAAACGAAAAAGAATCACGCACACGGGAGCAACGTGCACGGATTCACAGCGCACCTTCCTAGTTTGCTGTTGAAGCCTTTTTGTGTAGCATTCGCGCGTAGAATTCTCCAGCAAGTTCTTGCTTGAATTTTTTTCGCGGGAGCGCGCTACGAAAACTCTATTTCGTCGTTTTACGCGCAGTAAAATAACTTCGTTTTGATGCAATTTTTGCAAGATTGGGTCGGATTATCTTTCTAAAACCCCGCTATATATCTCTGCTATTTTGTAATATATTTTTTGTGAATTGCGTATATCGTATAAAAGGGAATTAATTGAAATGATTAATGTTAAACATGTCATCACAAATTACACCGGTATATATTTTTATGTGTTGACGTTGTGTGCGTTAGTAAATCGGATAAACATCCGACTGTGCCGCAAATGTCGACAGTTTAGTAGTTTTCCCGCGGTACATGCCATTTCAGTTATCAAATAATAATTCAACGTCCCGTACGCAGTAGTAACTGGTATATTTTTAATTGATCACAACTAACAATTTATATTCGGTAAATAATTTTAAACAGACGATACACGTTGAATGTGAGAAGAAATTAAATAAATCTTTCTGTCGACGTTTACTTAATTGACTAATAAATTCGTAACTATTAATGTACATTTTATTGACGATTTATTTCGTTTGGAAACGATTCTGCCCTTGATGAGAATTTGATGGAAAGCCATTATTGCTGCAAGTTTCTTATTTTCCAATGTTACATAACTTGGTAATTAAATATCGGAATAAAACTTTATTAAATCTACGTGAAACTAATTAAAGAGTTTGTTGTATTTTATATTACACGTTATTAAAGCGATTTTTTTACAAATATTTTTATTTTTGTTACAATCGCCTTAACTCAATATTGATACTGATATTTAAAGTCAAAGTCAAAGTGTCTAGGAAATCCGTTACTGAAATACATCATCGTCATTTCGGCATATCGCTTAAACAATATTTTAAAATGCACCTTCGACAACCCACAAAGACGTTCTGCGGGAACGTTGGAAAGCTCCGCGTCGCGACAGGATTCTAATTTAAGAAAAACGCGATGCACGCGACGAACGCAAACTTATTTTCCCGCGAGAGGAAGAGGGAGAGATGGAAAGGGAGATTTCTCGGAAAGAAACCTCAGTGGGGGTCGCTCGCTCCCGGATTTTCCGCGAGAGTCGTCCTGGAATATCCAGAGCACCGCTCGCGCGCAGGAATATAAATTTCTTCGGATGCAATCCCGACGCGCTTTGTGAGTCCGTCAACGGGAGCGTTTCTCCGTCGAGGTAGCATAACGCGGGAGCGCAAAGGAAAAGCAACCTGGAGATAATAAGAGGTCAGAATAGGGAATCTCTTAGCCACCTAACCTTCCCGCATGCGGTATTCCGTCGCGAAATTCCCGGCGGAGTTTATGTCGGACAGAAACAAAGCCATCGTCGTGTTTGATATCAGCCTACGCCGAGCGTCATTCACGACGCCATGACGATCCCCGACGTTTATAGTCCCGCATGAAATCTGATATTAAACATTCTTTTCGCCGGTGGGTGACGGCTCAGGATTGAATCGAAAAGGGCTTTACATCGCGTGGAGGCTTCAGCGGTGTCAGAATACTACCGCGCAATCTCGTGGAATTGGTCGTGCGCAACGTTGAGACATAATAGCGGAACTCGTGTGTAAAATGTTGACGAACCGTTATATTGGTTAGAGATAAAAATGCAAAAGTAATCACATCACCGCGTATGCGCGTTTATGCGAAGCTTATTTGATGGACCATTATGCAGTAAAATATTTCCACATACGTGTCGTATATCCTTTGGCACTTATAGTTGCAAGAATGTTAAATTAGATGTGATTTCGACAATGTTCAACAATTCTTTTTATATAGGCAGATAGTGAATTCTATTTTTATTGATAAGAATCTATCAATTTTAACATTATTATCGAAATATAATATATAAATGTTATTTTTTTAAATTAAAAATATAGAAAATTTACTGTTCTTATATCGATTCATTACTTAGATTCGAAGATGTTCTCATTGGAAGAAAGCGCGAGAAAGAACATATGCACTTGAATACACAGCTTCAACGTGCTGTGCAAGTCTCCGTTATCAGTTAATACGTTTGAGTGGATCCGATAGAAAATAGACGAAATTAGCATTGAACCACCGGGTAAGCGCGTTATTTCGCCCCAAATAAATATTTTCCAAAGCGCACTGGAGCTTACGCGATACCGACTACCCGTTTAATTATAGCGTCACATCGCCCTGCGATTATTTCACCATCAAAACAATAACAAAGAGGGAGAGAGAGGGAGAGAGAGGGAGAGAAAAGCGTATACTGGCTGCATATACACCGCGGTAGCTAACCAGATTTATGATTGGATGTTGCGTGATTGCGACAAGGGTGGGCCCGTAGTTTGCGCAAATCTTACACATATAAATCACTAGGGAATTTGCAATGAAATCGTTCTTTTTCTTTTCTTGTTCTTAAAGAAGAAGCAGCGGCGACAAGTAAAAATCGAGTGAAGGAAGGGGTGAAAGAAAGGCGCGGAGTTAGAAACTGACGTCGTGTTATAGCACGTGTTCGCATTTCTTGCCTCGCAGCCTTAGTCGGGTCGCGAAGATTCGACGACGACAAGACGTGGATGTCGACAACAACACGGTGCACGTGCAAATGTGCGCGGCGCGACGCAGCGCGCGGATGCAGCTGACGCTCAACGTCAAATGCAACTAATGCACGCCTTGATCTCGCGCTCGGTGAGCCGCGCCACACCACCGCCGGCATCGTCGCCGCCTTTTAAGCCCGCTGATTTAGAGTTTGAGATGTAAAGTGCAGCCACGAGGTTTTATTCCGCTCGTGACCTCGCCCCCGATCCGGGGACCTCAATCTCGTCGACGCGGCGATAAACCCGATTGTCCGACGAGACCACCGTCGGTGTTCCGATCACGTCAGATGTCACCGGCAATCGGTGCCGCTTCTCGTTCACCCGCTTTGTTTTATTTCCTCCGCACAGGATAACGCCATAGTTGGAGCATTGTTTTCAGACTGCCGCCGCCGCCGCCGCCGCGAGCGCACATGCTTCGTATGCTAAATAACGCGCGTAGAAACGCGATAATATGTGATTGCTTTGTCGGTAGGTCAGTATTTACGAAATTAACCACGTGTGAATTAATCCGTAACTTACGATATTACTGCCGCGATATTGCCGCATTGGATATCCATATCCTTTGCGCGGATAATGTGGGGATATTTGTAGTGGCTATTAATCGAGAGACATTTTATTTTTGAGCTACGTAAGAGCTATCGATAACATGTAAAAACAATAAAATAAAATAAAATTGAAAAAAAATGGATGGTGCTACAGGGTAGTATATCGTGGGGTTAAGGGGGATTTAAATAACTTGGATACTGTTTTCCAACAAATAGCGCGATCGATAAGCCGGACAATTGCACGAGTGTAATGAATTTGCACAATGTCTGTTTAAAAAAAGAAGCCCGCGGTCGGGCTCGGTTAGTCGTTATCGGTTACCGCGATACTTCGCTCTACAAAGCCGCGCAAGAACGTCGAATAATTACGCGGTAA